AAGCACTTAGAATAGTGCTTGGTAAATAACACTAAAAAATCTCTTAAGGCTCATTTCTGATTTAAAAAAAAATCAACTTTTTTGAGTTATCTATTGTTTTCCTGTTCAAATTGAGCAACACTTTTTTTTCTAGTTTTTCTTATGCTTCTTGCTTCTTGTGCCTGACATTATTCTTGTGTTGTTTTGAGATTAGGGTTTTTATTTTAAACATTTTGTAGATCGCTTTTTATTTCTTATATATTCCTCATTTACCCCTTTTCTTTGTGTTGCTAAAGATATCCCATTTATTGATCATGTATAGTCCTTTTTTTCTGAGGGAGGTGACATTAGGAAACAACAGCATAGCAAAATACTACAGAATTGAGATTTGGTTATGAGTCTCTGTAGCTCCTCCTAGTTTTAAAATTCTTTGAATCTCTGAAATTGAATATTCTTGCAAATCTCTGAAATTGACAATCTGAAATTTGAGTAGGTGATGCCCCAATCCCATCGAGGAACACAGTTTTCCTCTTACTCTCTTTTTGGGATGTGTGTGTTTATTCAACATGTGTATATTTTCTCCTTTCCCCATCTGGCATCTGCTTTAGTACCAGCCTAGCTAGCTGTTCTGTGTCAAGAGTACTTTAGCCTTTTCATTATCAAAGAGAAAGAAATGAAATAATATAAAAAAGAAAATCCTTCCCCATCCCCCTCCTGCTTCACTTTTGTTGTTTCTGAGCAAGTTTCTTGCCATTTACCTTTGCATTTGCATTGCTTATTGATTGGCAATTTTAAAATTGTTTATTGTGCTCTTTTGTTTCACTGTTCAAGAGCTAAAACAAAAGCTACCAGGCCCTGCGAGGTACACATTTGCATGCGGTGAGCGTTGCCCAAGGAAAAAGTAATTGCTAATGCATATTTATGTGGCACAAATTTGCCATTTGTTTATGCATAAAATTATCAATAGTGCAGGGCGGCCCAGCCGTAGAAAATGGTGACCTTTTTAGCTTAATAAATAGAAATCAGCTGTTATTGTGAAGAGATCAGCCATTTATTCTGTGTTGAGGGACATTGCCGGGAAAATGCAGATTGGGGCTGGCAATATCATTAAATGGAAGGCCAATGACCCTTTCCGTAGAGTCTATTATACTTTATCTAATAGGGGATAAATGACTCTGGTTGGCAAATGGAATAAAGAACAACAGTTTTTTTTTTTTTTTTTTTTTCCTTTTGGTAATTTTATAACCGTATAGATTTTAAGCCAGTAAAACTGAACAGGAAATCTCATGCTGACTTGTTGCTAGAATTCTCTCAAAAACTATCTGTTTTAAAGTTTTTTTCCTTATTCATTATTCTCTATTTCTGTTTGTACCCATGGAAACAAAAAGTAAGTCAGTTGATATTTTTCTAGGAGAAAAGTTCTTTCCTTAATTTTTGGGTTTTTTTTTTTTTTTTTCTTTTCTCTTTCCTCACTCTCTCTCCCCCTCATATTTTAATCTTTGCAATGAAAATGAAGGTATGTTTGCGTTTGTACAGGGTTGCCCTATATTTGATATCATAAAAATACTAAATGTGGAAGGAGATATTCTCGAAATTTAAAAAAAGTTACCAATGTATTATGCTTTTTAGAAAAATTAAGCTTAATACTTTCTAAGTGATAAGAATGGCGTTTGACGTGGGCCCTTTGGTTTGGAGAATATTCTGTAAATATAAAACCCTCTCATAAGCATACTTTCTCAATATGTAAAACACCAAGCAGTAGTCACCTTTGGTGATTGTGTCCCTGCTGTGTCTGGTAAATGAAATACCTTTTGTCTTTCTGGGGCTTGTCTCTGTCCGCTTTAATGTGGCTTCCTCCCACACTATGTCTATTTGGCTAATAGTGCTGTGGTATGTTAGTGAGCATTTCTGCCTCTTAGGAATTGTTATCCAGTTTTTTCAATCATGATAGAATTCACTATCAAGTGAAAGCTGCATTTGTTTTGAAAATGGTATTATGTAATATTTGATCCACTTAAAATTTTACATAATAGACGTTAAGTTATGAAACAAGATGATAAAACAGAGACCCATAAAAGCACCTCAGAACATGGCTAACATCTTTGAAGCTACCTGCGTGCTCCTCCCTGTGTTTCTTAACACAATTTCACGGTACCGTGTTGAAAGTTTCCACAGTAGTGGTTTTGCAGCCACCAATCTTTCCCTCGTGCTGCCCTTTAGTATGACAGTGCATTCTGCAGCATGTCACTGAAGTGACTGAGTAAGCTTTTACTGGCAGAAATGGGTCTGTCGTTCCTTTTTAAAGTAGAGGGTGTAAATAGGATTCAGACACTAGGGTACATTAGTCCATAAAATGAATATATTTTTTATGTCATTTGTAAGGTATTGATTTTAGGTCCATTAGATTCACAGTCCCTAGTGGGAGAAAAAAACAATGATTTAATGGGTAGGTTGGAAATTCCAGAAGGAAGAGCAGCAGTGATTAACCCCTTCTTTCTCAACTCCCTGCCTGTGTAATATAGTATCTTCTAGAAGTTGAGACAAGAACCCTGGGAGAAAGGGACAGAACGCTTATCATCTGTCTCCCCTGCAGTTTACAGAGGGTCAGAAAACAAATTTCAGCTCAGTTATTTCTGTGTCTCTGAATGTGATAGAACAGATCACTCGGGGTTAATAAAAGTTGTCAAAATTATTTTTTTAGATGGGAGTTTTTAAGTTGATGAATTCGTTTTATTTTTACAAAGTTCAGAGTGTATTTATTTATGTTGAGAGTCTTAACAACTTAAGATATTATTTAGGGACCTTACAGGATATGAAGGAATTGAGCTTAGCTTTTTTTTTTTTAACAATTTTTTTTTCTCTCAACTCTAAGAAAGGAAAGTTCCTTGTGGTATCATGCCAGTTACAATGTTTCTTAAGCGAGTTTTAAGTGATATTAGCAATATTGGCGATCTTAGTAATTTTTAAAGTAGGTTGTTTCCTGTTCTATAAATACATAGAAAATTATTGGTTTATACAACCTCTTTTCTGATAAAAGAATGAACTATCATTTCACTGCTATGTAATTAAATTTGGGTGCAGAGTACTTATAATAATTCTAGTCAATTTCATACACCTAATGTTACTACCACCTAAAAAGAATTATCTCTCAGGCTGCTTTGCCAGCTACATCTTCATACTTGTATCTAAAAAATCCTAATTATAATATAGGTAGGAAATGTTTTTAAAATTCCAATTATATTTCCAATCTTTTGCCATAGTGATATGTTGTCATTGAAGAAAAATATGCCAACTGCAATCTGGTTACCTCAAAACTTGACCTGACATAAAGATGATGGTATCAACAGACATTTTTAGAACTTCATATTTTAATTCAAGTTTTTCATGTTCTATAATAAACATATAAAAATACAAGCTCCCTCTTGTGGGTAAAATTACCACCTGTGAATTTCTGTGTCACCCAAATATATGATATGACAAAATTTCACTGTTTCACTTAGTAAACACAATTGTGGTAGTCTCTTTACATTTGGGCAGATGAGACAATTCAATTAACTGAAAAAAAAAAGTGGAGTTTGTGATATTTTTTCTAAGTAAAATTTTTTATGGAAATACATTTTTAAAACTCCACTGACTCTATATAGACAGTCTTTATTTTACTTCAGCAGCATACTTTCCCATGTTGAAAGTTCTTTTGTTATTGTTTTGGTTGGCTTTTGTTTGTTTGCTTTTTTGAGATGGGGTCTCATTTTGGTGCCCAGGCTGAAGTGCTGGTGATGCAACCACAGCTTACTGCAGTCTCAACCTCCTGGGCTCAAGCGATCCTCTCGCTCGTCTCACCTCAGTCTCTCAAGTAACTGAGACTACAGATGCACGCCACCATGCTTAGCTAATTTTTAAATTTTTTGTAGAGCTAGAGTCTCGGTGTTGCCCATGCTAGTCTTGAACTCCTGGGTTCAAGTACTACTTTTGCTCCAGCCTCCCAGAGTGCTGGGATTACAGGCGTGAGTCATCATACCCAGCCTGATGTTCAGAGTTTTTAATGATAATTTTTTTCTCATTGTGGAATATTCTTCAATGAAGTAATGAGTAAACTAATGAAGTAATGTGGATTCTTCTCTTTGTCAACATTGTGGCATTTGCATTTCTGTGCTTCTTAACAGAAGTTCTGATTTTGGAATGGAGTAAAATGCTTCGATACCAGGCATGATCCAGGAAGGTATAGTATGGTAATAAAACTACTCAAATACAGTAAACCTTGTGATCAAAACTGAATAATCAGTGATGATATAAAAATGAACACCAAGACATTACTCAATTTCCCTTGAATTGGACTGATAGTAGAGCGACTGAGCCAGAACCAACGCTGTGGCTCCTCCCTTGTACAGGTTCCTTGCTTTCATAAGTCTGATTCTCAGGAATCTCAACAGATTGTCAGGGCCAATTTTTGTCCAGCTTAGGAAAATTGGTAACGAAGCCAGAATTTTATTCACTCATGACAGTGGCAAGAGCACTTTCTGAAGTTGAGCTGAGCAGGACAATCAGAGAAATACATAGCAGGGATGGAATGAAATGAAAAATAGCTGAACATTTAACAAATACTGTGTTGACCATTGCTATTATATGTTTGAATGGGCTCAAAGAAGAGACCTAAGAGGACACCTGACGATGCCTCATGAATCATTTCAAGCAACAAGAATCTACCTTAGTGTAGCCTGTCCTAAAGCATTTTCAGGATATTTACATTAAAATTGGACCACAACAACTTCTGAGTTTTTAGATTAATTGTGGTGGCTTTATAATGCCAAGATAATGCCCCTTCTTCCATAAACCATAATTTTATTACATTTATAAATGTAAATTTACATTTACATATATATTTAATGGTTTATGTATCAATTTACATATATAAATATAAATTTCTTTTGAAAACCTTACACATCTTCTACTTTCAAGAGTCATATGTTGACATTTACTAAATAAAACAATGCACTGTTAATGGTCTACTTTTATTTTTCCAGCTTTCCTCTTGCTGATGACATGATTCCTGTTTGAATCTGTTGACAAGATTCTGAAAGCCGAACAGAGAATTCTGGCACTGCACTGGGTAGGAAAAAGGTATATTCATAAAACACATAATACACACTTTTGAAAAATTGATAACTATGCTATTTCACAAAAATGGAAGTTTATATGGTTTCTCTTATTTTTAATTTATAAGTAAAAATATATAAAACATATGCATAAAAAAGTAGAGTACATAGTCTTTTATATTCAGATGACAACTGGCTTTTTAATTATAATTTTGAGACTCATTATGATGGTAATGTCTCTAAACTGGCAGATGATAGCAACATTTCTTTTCTTTTCATTTTCTTAATGAGATACACTTTTTCTGAAGTTGTGAAAGCTTTTTTCTCCACTGAAAAATGTTTTTTGGAACATTTGTTGCTACTTTTCTGTTGTTGCTTCAAAATAAATATTTGGGATTACAATGGATAGGTCACATATTTTAGAAAATTTCTATAGGCTATTAAGTATTCCGGGGTATGATTCTGTTAATACATACAAAAATGTAATATTGCTGAAGCCAGACAAATATTTTCTAATTTACTGGCAGAAACATTCCATGGGCATCTATCTGTGTGTGCATGAAATCCCTGTTTGTCTTTTCAATAGTGTTATACTCTTGGGAACAGGCACTGAAAGTTTGACCACAGATCTAGAGCTGAAAATTGTTTTCTAATTTATTGATTGACTAGTCATCATGCGGGCAACTGCAGAAAAAGGATGAAGGGAAGGAATTCTGTTGTTCGGGAGAAGTTTGTCACCAGTAAGATTGAAAGGGAAATCTCCTTTTGTTGATACCTAAAAAGAATAATGAAATAGTGTTTGTCTTGCATAATGACTTAAAGCTCATTTGTTCAGAAATCTGCTCTTACAGTATTATGACTTATGTTCCCACCGTTTCAAGATGCAAGTATATGTGTGAAAACCCTTAGAATTAATGGTAGTGGTTACCTCTTTTACAAACAAAATTGTTAAACTCCCAAATAATATTATTAAAATACTTAAAACTCAGGCTTCATATATTCACAGACAGATGAAACAATATAATATAGAAGAAAACATAGCAAATAATGGATTTTTATGCTAACAAATGTGGAATAAATCACAACAAAATTATTCCAAACAAAAGTTCTATAGGTTTACAGGCAAAAATACCAATATAAATAAAATTAAAAGGCAAGTGACAAACTGAGACTGCTACTTCTAATAAGTATGGCAAACATCAAATGTAAAGAGCAGTTATAAGAAAGACACTAATATCTTAATTTAAAATATAATGAGATATAAGAACAAGTAGTTAATAAGGAATATAACTGTAATATAAAAACTAATAAAAGGAATGCAAAGTTATGCCTCACTTATCTAACTACAGGAAAGTAATTTGGAATATTATAACAAGAGTGTAAAGACACGGACATTTTCAATAATTCTGGGAAAACCTTATATTTATTCAACTTTCCAGGAAGGAATTTGACCACTTCTGTTAACAGCCTTAAATGCTTTCAAAGCATTCTATGCAACATTCCCATGCTATTAGTTTGGAAGATATTTAGTTGCAAGTGATCCAGATCCAACATAACCATTTAAACAAGATAAAATTTTATATTTCTTTTAAGTCAATTTTCATATATTTGTAAGTGGAAGAATTTGAGATAGATTTAACTGTTCAGCAGTAGAGCAGTGGCTAGATAAATTTGAACACGTTTATGTGATGGGATATTCTGCGACCAGAATGAAATGAGTATTTCATTTGATATTTAAAATTTGATATTTGATATTTAAAATTCTTTTCTAAAGAATTTTAAAGGATATAAAATTATGCATAATGCAATGTTAAATTAAAAAATCGGAGTCTACACTAAAGATATAATGTGTTTCCAAGTTTGTGGGTACATACGTACACACGTATGCATGTATATATCTCCACATGTGCCTATATATAAGAAACACAGAAAAATTAATAGAAAAAATAATAAACACATCAAATATAATTAACTCTGGATATGGACTCATGAGAAGTTTTAATTTTCTTCATAGTTTACAGGGTTTTTAAATAGTAAGTATAATTTAATATTAAAATTTGAGAAATATAAAAGGTATGGATTTTCAGAAGGTATACATAAGTTGCTAAGTGCCTCTGTTTGTTACGATACTGTATATATATATCTCTCTGTTCAAGGAGAGTTGAAACAGCCCAGCACCCATCCTTTTGGTTATTTTTTTCCCAAAGTCGGGTTGAAATGAGGATTCCTGCTCAGTAGATCCATACAACCACTTAGACATCTTGATCATATTGCAGCCTGACTGCCTCTTTTAGTTTAGGGCAGTTCAAGGTACCGTGCTGCAGTTCAGTGGCATTGGATAAACACATGAAGGCTTCTGGTATGCATGCCTATTTCAAAGGCACAAAGCAAAACTTGTGTGTAAGTGGAAGAGGTTGAATACTGCAGTTCTGGATTAAGATTTTTTTTTAAAGTATTATGTTACCTTAGAATATTAGAAGAGTGAGAATTTAACTCTAAGATGAGTGAAAAATCACAGTTTGATAGCAATGTGAGAAAATATTTGTGGAAATGACAGTGAGAGCCTTTTTTTCCCCCTTTCAAAACCTAAACTGACTTAACTCTTTGAACTTGTAAGAGAAGCATGATGTTTAGGAGCATAGACCTTGGAGACATTGTTTGGGTCTGTCTCCTAATTATACCACTTATACCTGTTTACTGTTGGTTTTTTTCCTTAACTGCTATTACTCAGACTTCTCATGTGTCAAAGATAAATAATAATGGAAAACATACCATGCAAATAGTTACTACGTGGACACTGGTGTGACTAGTGTTTAAAGTTCATTAAGCAAAATAGACTTTAAAGCCCAAACCATTACTAGAGAGAGTCACTTTATAAATGATTCAAGTTTCAATTCAGTAGGAAGACAGAATAATTTTAAATCTCAATGCCCCTAATAACATCATCTTGAAGTGTATTAAGGAATAATTGATAGAACAACAAGAGAAATAAACAACTGTATAATAGCAGTGATATTAATTCACTTGTCTTAGTAATTGATACAATAAAATAGAAAAATCGGTGAGGATTTAGTTGAATGGCAAGATTAAGAAACATGACCTTATATATATGTGTGGAACCTTGCATACAACTGTAAAATTTACATTATTTTCAAGCACATAAGAGACAATGATAAACATTGACCATATTCTAAGTCACTGAATGTCTCATTAAATTATGCCCCAACCATTTTCCAAGAATTAAAATTGTACCACAATGAAATTAAGCTGCAAACAAAAATAGAGCTAGGAATATAGTTTCACAATTAAAAGGAAATCACGGGCCGGGCACGGTAGCTCAAGCCTGTAATCCCAGCACTTTGGGAGGCCGAGGCGGGCGAATCACGAGGTCAGGAGATCGAGACCATCCTGGCTAACGCGGTGAAACCCCATCTCTACTAAAAAATACAAAAAACTAGCCGGGCGCAGTGGCGGGCGCCTGTAGTCCCAGCTACTCGGGAGGCTGAGGCAGGAGAATGGTGTAAACCCGGGAGGCGGAGCTTGCAGTGAGCTGAGATCCGGCCACTGCACTCCAGCCTGGGCGACAGAGCGAGACTCCGTCTCAAAAAAAAAAAAAAAAAGAAATCACAATGGAAATTAGAAAGTTTTTAGACTAAACAATAATAGATATCCTACATATAACAATTGTAGAATGCCTATAAGAAGTGTTTACTGGGAAATTTATAACCTAAAGGAATATATTATAAAAACAAAGGGCAAAAATTAATAGGCCAATAATTCCTCTCAAGAAGTTATAAAACAACAAAATAAACTCAGTGTAGTAGAAGGAAGGAATTAATTAAAGTAAGAACAAAATTAACAAGGTGGAAAACAGTCATGTAACAAAGAGGACTAAGAAAGCCAAAAAACTGATTGTTGGAAAAGGTGAATAAACGTTTCAAACCTCTGATGAGACTGAGCTACAATGCAAGAAAAATGGGCAGATTACCAATATCAGTATTGAAAAAGGAGACACTACAACAGATATGTGTAATGCCAAAATTTGCTGAAAAGAAATAGAGAACTTGAATAGTTCTATAACTGTAAAGGAAATTTAATTCAGTAATCAAAAATCATCCTATAAAACAAAAGCAAAAATCTTGACCAAGATGACTTTGCAGGCAAATTCAAGGAAGAAATAAGTTTAACCTTTTTTTTTCTTTCTTTTTTTTTTTTTTTTGAGACCGAGTCTCACTGGGTGGCCCAGTCTAGAGTACAGTGGCCTGATCTTGACTCACTGCAACCTCTGCCTCACAGGTTCACGTGATTCTTGTGCCTCAGCCTCCCAAGTAGCTGGTATTATAGGCTCATGTCACCATCCTTGGCTAATTTCTTTTATACTTTTAGTAGAGATGGGGTTTTACTATGTTGGCCAGGCTGATCTCAAATTTCTGACCTCAAGTGATTCACCTGCCTTGGCCTCCCAAAGTCTGGGATTACAGGCGTGAGCCGCTGCACCCAGCCGAAGTCTAATCTTACATAATTTTTTATTTTCAAAAGATAGAAGAGGTTACAATCCGAATTCATTTAATAATTATCATATAATTTTCATACCAAAGCTGATGAGAATAGTATGAAAAAGGACTTACAGGCCAATTCCTCTTGTGATTATAAGTGGAAATATCCTCAACAGAATATTAGCAATTCAAATTTGGCAATATATAAAAATAATCATTTAATCATTTAATAAAAAATTATGGCCAAGTTGATTTATTCCAGAAATACAAGGTTTGATAATATGTAAAAAAATAAACAATTTAATACAGATTAAAACAAAGTATCATATGATCATTTCAATAAATGCAGGGCAAGCATTTAATGAAATTCAACATCTATTTCTTGTATTTAAAATTTTTTGGAAAACTAAAAGCAGGGAGGAACTTCCTTAATGTGATATAAAATACATACAGCAAAGATAAATTGTAACAGTAAAATGTTAAAGGCTTTCCTTCTGTGTTCAAGAACAAGACAAGGA